GACTAGATGGCCTGCAGCAGAAGCTGGAACGTCAGGGTCTTAAGAATGTGGTCTACATGGTCGTTAACCACCAGGGGGAGCAATCACGACATCTGCACCCTTTGCTGGAGGCCAAACTTTCCAAGAACATCATACTCTACAAGCAGGACGGGCAACAGCCTGATGTTTGGCAGACTCTGGCTGGAGAGAAAGATGACTTTTTCATTTATGACAGGTTTGACATGAAGTGGAAAATTCAGTTACATTTTTCTGGAAAAACCAATAGAACATTGTAATTTTGGACAACATATCTCACCTCCACAAGCCTAATCTTACAATGCTTTTCTGTCCCTTTGCAAACAGGTGTGGCCGTCTAACCCACCGCATTTCACTTCCATACTCCATCATTGGACAGGGCCATATTGCGCAGGCAATCAAAGACACCTACTGCAAACGCCTATGTGGCGACTGCACACATGAGGTATAGATCAAATCTAACAGAGAGTTGTTTTTTAAGTGAGGTAATATGATCATCATATTATAATTGTTTAATCAGAGGCAAGATCTTAAACTGAATCTCTGCTTGTAATTTCAGAGTGCTGAGATCCCAGAGGAGTGCAAAGATAATGCAGAGGTCCAGCCTGATGTCCCAGCTGAACAGGACGACACCAGACATGGTCATCACCATGGTCATGGTCATCAGAATGGTCACGGTGATCAGAATGGTCACGGTCATCAGAATGGTCACGGTCATCAGAATGGTCATGGTCATCAGAATGGTCACGGTCACGGCCACCATGGGGATAATCGCGATGTTCATCCTCGTGGCTTTGGCCATGGCAGTGATCACAACAATGGCCATCATCATAGAAATCACAATGGTGCCGACCAGACACAGCACGGTGTTAGACCACATGGGCATTTCCATGAAGGTGACATGCCTCAGACCCAGCATCATTTTGATTTAGGCCAGATTCCCCAGGACGTGCACAATCAACAGGTGGCACAGGAGGCTCATGCAGTCATTGAAAGGCCTTGATTATCTAGGAAGAACAGGTGAAAGTTAAAGTACAACTGACAGGGTCTGACGGGCTCTGACAATGAAATTAAGAGCAGCTGATGCTGACACTGACGCAGGCTGTTTGGCGAGGCAGGGAGTGAGCAGCCAGTCGGTCTCTGACACTGTGATGAGGCGTTACCCACCTCCTGACGGTGACACGGGCTGATAGGCGATGCAGTCAATGACGTTAGGGAAACCTGACAGTGACGCTTGCCTCACCCTGCCTGACAGGAGCCTCAGCCAGCCCAGTGAGCCTGACCCCCAGGTGTTGTTAGCTGAGGATGAGAGCAGCTGTAAGCTGGTTCTGATGTCAGCTTCATATTAACACCAGTCAGCAACACCGGGGCCAAATGCTCTTTTTACCAACAAGTATTACCCTGAGAGAGGAGGGTGGGCATTCCTGACAGTAGAGCAATGGGTTAAATTAGAGTCAAGCAGCTATTGTGAGCTTATCATTGAAGTAATTTGAATATCATTTAAAGAATATCGCAATTTTAACTATCTCAATGTATCTGTCAGTGGGTTGCCCTCCTCCTTTCTCAGGAGTGTATGTGATTGTCATGTTTTCAAATTAGCCCCCCCATTATGTTTTTTCCATCCTTTATGAAACCAGATGCAGAAACTATGATCTAGTGGCGTCTGTATGATGTCAGGCTGGAGAAAAAGGAGAGGGTAGTTCAAAACATGATAAACGCTTCAAAGTTTTTAAAGTTCAGAAGTAGAAATGACACAAAAAACTGCAAATAAAAGTAAAAGTAATTTAGAGGAAATAGTAAACAAGAGCATCACAGTTTATGAATTAGTTAAAAATATGTCTTAAGGTTGTATTTGCTTTTTTATTAGGGAAGTCCAATAGCACTGATCCATTACTGAGGAAACCCCCTAAAAGACATTTAAATATAAATCTAAAAACTATAGACCAATCATTTTTTTGTGGGGCATTCTATCGATTATCATTCTTAAGTACATATATAACAGCAGTAACTAACACATGTTTTGTGCACAAGCTTTAACATACCTCAGGTGTGACCTTTTTCCATAAGAGAAAATCTTAAAATTTTGAGTACTAACAGTACAATTTATTCTTTCACTTTTCTTTTTACCAAATTTGGTATTTAGCCTTCAGAGTTCACACATTGCTACAAGGCTTTTTTTTTTTTTTTGAAGTTCAGGAAGACAGCAAGGAAAAACGAGAGTAAAGCAATGAATGACTGTTTGAATACGCTCTGTTCTTAGTGATGGTTTCAGTGGGAAGACATCAGTCACCCTGAAAACCTGAAGATCGGACAGAGAACTGTATTGGAATTGTATGCAAGGTGAAAAATGAGAGTTGAATAAAGATGGCTCAATTACTCTTCTAGTTTTCGAGTATCTTCTTTTTTTCTTTCAGTGTATATATTACATGTGAATGAGGGGGATCATATTAGCTGCAATATAGTATCCTGTCCCATTTAATTCAGTAGTCACAGCTGATACTGTTTACATCAAAACAGTCCTCATACATTAAAAAAAAAACAAAAAAAACATTGATCTTCCTTACACCTTCATGTGGGCAATTTACAACATAAGGAAACTATTCTCTCACTAGAAGAATAATTGTAAGTAATGGACTGCTTACTGAAACATGAATAAAAAAGGAAGTCTGCTAAAATGGTGTGATATCTGGCTTTCCTCATTTCCATAGGAAATGGAAATATTCTCACTGCCTTCCTCTCTCAGCTCAAATATGAGTGGTGCTGCCAGGTAGGTTTAAATGTGAGAGTATTTTTATGATTGTATGGTTGTCTGTGTTAATCCTGTAATGGACAGGAGGCCCATCCAGAGGGTACCCACCTTTACAAAGCTCAAGGAAAAATGGAAAAGTGAAGATACTAGATGTCACATAAAACATTACCTAGTAAAAGTAATTTTATTATGGAAATTATGATACAAATAAACATCGCTTTATAAGAAAATATAGGTAAATAATACTATTAAACACATTAGCCTATTAGCTTAAAACAGTTAAAATTCACTGTTGAAATGATTGGGAAATTCTTAAATGTTATCATTCCACAAACAAGTAATAATAATAATAATAATAATGGATTGGATTTATATAGCGCTTTTCAAGGCACCCAAAGCGCTAGTATGAACATACTCTATTAAAGTTTCTTGTTATGTAATAATGTAGTAATGATATTTCTGATGCAGTCATGTTTATCCGTTTATCCCCTGTTACCTGTGGTTACCACTACACACACACACACACACACACACACACACACACACACACACACACACACACACACACACACACACACAAATAGTCTCCGACTAGATGAAAACTGTCATAAAGTTGATAAACTGGCTCAGGACACTGAGGAGTTCCTGATTTAGAGAGTGGGATTTAATGTTTCAGCAACTCAGAAAATTTGTGAGTAGATACTTTTTCCCTTTAGATGATCTGGAGATGATTTCTGTAAAAAGTGTTTTCACTGTTTTCCCAAATATGTATCAGCAGGTGGCGATAAAGATCTAGACAATAAACCACCACTACACCACCATTGAGCCATTGAGCTGATGTGTATACTGTTGAAGCCCTTCCATTCATACAGATTTGATAGAGCCTTTAATTGACAAATTCACTGACAAATCCTCCCAAATTAGCATATTTCATACATTTCATACAATGAAATAAAGGGACTTCTTAGGTTGTTGGGTTACTCTCACATTTTCAAGGATCAAGGTGTCTGTTTCTAGTTTCCTGCAACATATCGACAAATGTGCAGAAGCAAAGCACACATCGCACTTCCAGTTTATGTTATACAATTATTTATTTGGCTAAAGGAAAACACTTTGCTTGCACATGCTGATGACACGCTTACATTTCTGGTTTAAAGTGATTGCACTGATGAGTTCTTGTTGGTTTGGCATTGTATGACTGTTTGCTTGTTATTGAAATAGCTTTAGATGCAACAAACATTAACAGAAGTGTCATCTAGAAGAGGGGCACCTTAAGCTCATCTTTCTATACTAACATTGGTGTAATGATGCCAGTGTCCAGCTCCAAAATCTGTGAAATTATTTTAAAGACTTAAAGCACACCAGCTTCTGTTCAGTGTTATAGCTGAATTGCCTGTTGGACTGTGTGTCTGAAAAGGTCAACAAGCAACCGGAGGTAATAAATGAAGCTGAGGTGGACTGCTTGTGTGGGCGTAATTGGGCTGAAGATCCAATACAGAGGAACAGTGACTTATGGGTAATTACCTGCAATGTCCTGAGACAAAGAGCTGTGAGTGGCTGTCTCTCTGATTCAATCAGCCCCACACAGAGCTGGGCAGTACACAGCCTGTCTTAATTGTCCGATATGCTTTCCCCTCGATGCACGGATGCACAACGTTTCCTGCAGCCGTTTTCTCTCCATTTATACCGGCAGCGACAGAGACTCACACGCTTGTGAACTCATTCGCACAAAGTTCCTCTGTGTTTCTCACAAACAAGCTCACATTCTTCCCACTCCAACTGCCACACATACACAGATGCAATTCCAGTGTTCATCTCTGTCAGACACACACACGGAAATCTGTTTGCATTTAAACTCTAAGACCACATTGGGCAGCAAATTTTCTTCATTAACAGCCTTCTTCTGTCACTCAGTGCTGATCTGAGCTGACCTTTACTGTGCAGTATGCACTTTCAATGCTATTATACTTTTAATGACACAGCTGGCAGTGGTTTTGGGAGGTCTTGTGAATAGCTTGTTGAGCTGCATCTTGAAACGGAATTAGTCATAAACACTGTTGTAAATTATCTATAATAAGTAACATGATCTCGATAACTCTGGGAAATCTAATTTGTCTAGTTTACGTTTGCATTTAAAACGCTAGATTAGTTGAAAATAAAATAACTGGTCCAACACGCAGCGTACAAATTGGAGATGGAGTTAAATGCAGCTTAGAAAGGCGCTTCGTAAACAGCATTAGCAGTTAGATTTGCCTTTGAAAACATCTTTATTTTTTCATTCTTGAAGACAACATGACAAAAATAATGACCAAGATGCTGTATATTTATTTTGTAACTTGTCGAGAGCTTATTGATCACATATACAACATCAGAAAGGCTCAATTGGCAAGAGAACAATATCAAATAAACATCACAAACAAGTTCTTAGCCCCGAGTAAAACAGCAGCCAACAGACAAGGACAGCGGCTCCAAGGACGGAGGGGGTGGGTGTGAGGGGTTTGTGTCAAAATATGAAGAAAACAAGCCAATGCAAACCGAAACGTCATACTTGAGACCACAATGGTGATGGGTCTGATTTTGGCATGCAGAACATTTCCAGCTTTATTAATCAAGATGACAACACGGCAGCGAAAATATTACTCATGCAGCACCATTCACAGTTAATTTGGCTAAGGTGGTGGGGCAGACAAATAAATAGCACATGGAAGGAAAGAGAGTGAAACCACTGAAGGTCATTAAAAATCAGGCTGTATACCGCTGTACTCAAGTCAAGAATGAAAGTGTTTCCTCAACAAGCTGAAAAATGTGTGGCTCGGTGCTCTTTGCTTGATAACGAGCAACAACCAGCACAGATTCCAGCAAAACTACTTCCAGACACTGTAGAACGACAAAAGCCACACTTGGACTGACAGGCTGGGGGCTAAAAGGCATCATTATAAAATATTTTACCCCTGTCAAAAAATGCACTTTCAAATAATGAAATGCTGAAATCACATAGCGGGAGGAAAGTCCGAGCACAGAGTTACAATATACCTATTCACTCTGCCTCTTTTTTGATATGACTTCATTAAAAATCTGCATTTATCTATCTATAAATCTTCTAGCAAATATTAAATACTACATTACAATACATCTTTCTAGTAATCTGTTAAAAGCAATCTGTGTAAAATACGTTCTTTAAACAAAACTGAAGCTTATCGACACTGATACTGTTCCTCACTTTCTGATTACTCTGCTGACTAGAAAATATATAATACTAGTTTATAGCGCTGTTTTTTTTCACTCACTTGATACAAAATATGTCTACATCAGATATATATTGTACGTGTACAAAGTGCTTCTTCTAAAGTGTCTGTAACATTTATAAGCTTGAAATAACATTTGAAATGTAGTAAACATTTGCACAGCTTGAAGAAAAGAAGCACCTCCCAAATATTTCTATCGTACTGTAACCTTTAAAAAACACTTTAACAGATTAAACTTTTTTTTTCTTCCTTTTTTTCCTTTTTCCACATTTCAGTTTGTACACTTTTAAAAATCACCATGGTACAACTGATACAGGATCAAAACAGTGCTTTTCCCATGATCTGATCTTCCTTCATAAAGTCAGAGAGCCTTCTGGGGGTCTTTGGATGAGTGTAAACACTGTGAAAGATTCTCGGGGCGAAACGGTCACGTTACAATGCTACTGATTACGGACGTCGCCTGCAAAACACTTACGTACATGTTATAATGATCGTTGCGCTCTCTCGACTGACACCACAGTAAGGCTCAATGCGGGAAATATACATGCACTGAGCAGCAATATATTGTGGCTACTACTAATGACGCAAAATATAAATGCTTGTAATTTTACAGCAACAGTCAATATATTAAGACTTTTCTGCAACAGCAAGGACTCGCTGGGATCATTCGCGCCAGGCTGCAACGACATAATGCTGAGATATAAAGGCGAGATAGAGAGAAGTGGCACATATTTATCAGATTCCCATTAAAAAAAATCATTTTATGGCTCTTGCATTGCTATGAGAATGTCGGATTAAAAGGCATATATTATCTGACTCATCTATCCACTTATCTGTATTAACGATGTATTTCTATGCTGGATGTGCTTCCTTTGCTCTGTAGAATACATTTGTGTTATGGTGAGAAAAGCTCATTTGGAGGCTGCCAAATGGAGGCTGTTCAGATTCAGATTGATTTCACCCACATTGTGCGCATGCGCCATTAGCGTGCTGCCTGCTGTAACCCTAATTTCCTTCGGGATTAATAAAGTATTCTGATTCTGATAGTATTACAAAAATCCCCCAATTCCCAGGACAAATTTATTGTAAACATTATAAAGATATCTAACTTATTAAGCAACAATATATAACTGAGCTTTTCTTGGGGAGGAATGCTCGCAGCTACATACATGTCAGTTTGCAAGTGGTCAGTACGAACTTTCATAATCACTTTGGATTTGAAAGGTTTTGTGAGCATGATTAGCAGGATGCTTATTGTGGTTTGCAGCTGATAAACTAGGTGAACGAGTCAAAGACTAAAATATGATTAAGGGAAATAGTTTTACGCATTATTGTCTTGTATGCATGCACGCACGTGCGTGTTGCCGTTGCAGTGCTTGTGCAGATTTTTAAAAGCGATATCTCTGCACAGTTCACCTACACTGTCCACTTCTAGATCTTGCCTGCACAAAGCAATGCATAAATGCACAAGTTGTGATTGCATAAACATAGTACCATGGCACAGAACTGGCAAGCCACTTATAATATTATAGGCACAGGCTGTTAACACTTGGCAGTTAATAGGTAGAAAGATTTAGCTAATTACATTTAAAGTATACTTTCACAGTCTTTCAGCTTGCTTCATTTACACCAGAGGAATACAAACCCCAAGAAGAAAGCTTGAGCATTATGGTTTAAGTTAAAAAAATACGCTGCCCTAGTCTCTCTGAATTGCTAGCTGTGTGCATGTGTCCCTTTCTCTCCGGTAAACTACTTAATCAACGTGCCCTTGAGCAAGGCACTTGGTGGTGCTCTGTAACGTATAGCCCAGTTTTCTCCCAGCTGTGAGTGAAACTGATAGAATTCTTCCTCATAATACAAGTGCTGCACTTCAGTGCAACGTATGAACTTGGCGTCAAAATTAAATGTCAATAAATAACCTAAAAAAAAAACCAAACAAACCACACAATTAGATATGTATATCAGCGTGTGATATTCAATTAATTATGGGTACTAGTCCATGAAGTGTTTTAATTTCTCTACTGTGTCTACTTATGTGTAAGTTAGTGGTTTCCTTCATTTCCCAGATTTCCTTTAAACACTTTCCACGAAAAGAAAGAGGTATAACTGTGACTGGACTAACTTTAATTTGCTGTTGGTGTTTGTTGCCCTGACTTTGGTATCTCTTGTGTGTGTATACGCGTGCTGGATGTTTTTTTCTATTTGTTTAAAGCATTAAACATTCTATTGAACTAGAGGTTAAGAGGAACATAGCTTGACATTATACGACCTCAATTCCATTACTTACTCTGAAAATATGAACAGCTACCTTTTAGATAAAATGAAGACTGGAATGCAAGCTAAATCTGGATAGGTATTGAACAGTGTACTTGGTTGTTTTTTTTTATAAAAATATATCTCTAGTGAAGTGCTAATATGATATGATGAGATAAGAACGGTCTATTGATAAACTGATAAAGTACCTCGTGGGGTAAACAGCATCACCGTCAGCAATGACCTTTGTTTGGTGTGAAAACTCACACCATCAGTCATGCACTGAAAGCACTCTGTAAAATTAAGACTGTAACAGTGTCATTGCTCTGGACACAATAAGCCAGAGATACAATGCAACACAAGGCAGTTAAGCATTGATATTATGTTTGCTTGGCTCACTGTAATCATGCATGGATGCATGAGATGCTGACGAAACAGAGCTAACTGTGCATTTGGTTTATGATGTTAATATTTGGCTGCCTCAAAAGAAAGAACTGCTTTAGCAGATGCAAAGAAGTTAAGAGAGTATCTTGTAGCCTTTTATATCTGCCTTTCAGCATCCTCTGAAAATAGACACCCGTACACATCTCAGCCGCCCAGTGTGCTGGGAGTTACTTGGTTTCCAACGGGAATCGGGTAGGACGACTGCGGGTAACTTCCTGGTGAATCAGCCTTACATGTAAAGGTCTGATGTCTTTGTCATTTTATTGTGAGAGGTTTCCCAGCAGGTCTGGGGTAATGTACCCCACAGGCATAGGTGCCTTGAGTGGGTGCTGTGGCAGGCAGGAAGGGGGGGTCTGGTGGCTAGGCAGGTTAAGGAGCAGACTGTGATGACTGTCTAACTCCTGAACCACTGTGTAGTCTGCAACAGGAGCAAAAAACTGGGGGGAGTCAGGAAGAATGTAAGGCGACGGATTAACCTCCATTGTGGCTGCAGGTCTGGGCTCCACTGGCTGAGGATGTATGATGTGGTACCCCTCACCGGGCATGGGAGAGCTAGGGGGAGGAGTGCTGATTTGCTGGATACTGCTCTCTGTACTGTAGGCACTTCCTTCTGGATCCACTACTAGCAGCTGAAACTGTGGCTCTTTTTGCTTCCGTTCCTCAGACTCCTCACTGTCTTCACTCTCTTTCCGCTTCTTTTTTGTCTCCTTCTCAGCGGCTGAGATGCTCTCCTGGATTCTGAGTTGCTGTCCAGGAGACAACACCACACCACCAGAGGGCATAACATTGCTAACCTGAGCGTAGAAGTCTGTGTTGACCCAGGTCTGGGGCCCTCTGGTTTGGGTTTGGATGAGCTGTCTTTCACCTGTCTCAGAGGCTGAGGATCTTTCTACAGTATCAAGGGAGGTTTCCTCTTCATCAGGTTGTCCTGGTAGAAGCGTGGCCATCAGCATTAGTGTTTCTTCTTCAGGGAGATCTGAGTTGTAACAGGTGGCCTGGGCGGACTCAGCATCTGGACCACTTGAGGAGAAGCCAAAAAAACAAGAAAGGCAAAGAAATGAGTATTCACAGAGCTATTTGATTAAACAAATAACACCTTTAAATGTAAATCTTTGCCATACCTGATTGAATTAGAGCAACTTATGTTGATGTGTTGACTGACAGGTTGGGACTGACCCAGGAGTTTCTGGGTGTCTGAGCCCCGGTTATCCTCCTTCTCTCCACTATCTACATCCTCTGTCTCATTGACCTCCATGAGCTCCACCCACAGCTCATCTTGGTAGAAATCTGGTGCATAAATGGGCAGGCCATCCATTCCTCCACCACTCAGCATAAAATTCAGCTCATCCAGCTTCCCCTTCTGCAAGTATACAAACAAGTGTTCTGACATTTAGGCTCCAGAAATTGACAGTTTCCTCTGTAAAACACTCTGACTTTGCAGACTTACGTCTAAAATTTTAAACCCAACAAAAAGTGTATGGCAGCTTGGTCTACTCACAAATTAACAACATAACTTATTTATTAATTTACATCAGGATTTTTTTTTTTAATTGTTCAGAGGTGAGATTGTTTTGTATGGCTTTTAAATGCACTCTGTGAATAATACACCCACAACACAATCCTGAATCATGATGCTCTTTCTGTCTAATTCCCTCTGAGTGGTCCTTATGTCCATTTTTTCTTGTTATTTATATTCAGTTTTGTTTCACGTTTAATTGGTGGTTGAGTCAGATGATAAACTGGTAGTGAGTGTGAGAGAGAGACGAGGGAGTGATGTGGTGATTTTGTGACCTAACATATCTCTACAATATGAGCCGCACAGACAGACAGGAATCTGTTTTCTATCCAAATTACAATTGAAATATAATTTTAAAAATGTGATTACACAATCCCTTATATAATGGTTTTACTTCCAAACATTGCCTTTTTTAAAATCTGATTAAAATACACAACAATTTTGATCCCCCTCTGACAGTCACGCTACTTGACTGCGGGGGTCTAGCATTTGCTTGAAAAATCACAGACCAGAAATACCTTCAATAGCTCTGAATCGATGCCTTTGATTTTGGGTGCAGGAACAGGCGGCAGCAGAAATATCATTAATCTGCAATGACAGAAGAACGAGAGAGAAAGAGAGAGATGTGCACCTGTGATTTAGCAGATGTCTCATTGTTTCACAGATGTTTTGGACACCACAGATGCATGAAAGAGAGGGAGTGCGTGAGTGCTCGTACCGGTTCTGCTGAGAGATGACTATGAGCATGATGAGTATGAGGATACCCACAGTCCCAAATACAAAAACCAGTGTGAGATGGACAGGAAACTCTAAGAAGCAAAATGAAACAGAACTCGTCATAATAATGATGACAACCAGTCCTCTGGCTTCATCAATCATACTGTGTTAAATGCTCAAAGAAAAAAAAAACAGTTTGCAGTTCACCAAAAATGCATTGCATCATTCTAACACATGCGTTACCTGTGCTAGGAATCTCAGTCACTTGAATGAAGATGGATTCACTGAACTCGCCAAATTTAATGAAAACCTGCATCCTGCAGCGGATGTGTACTTCATATTCTTTTCCTAAGTGCAGACCGTAGATTGTCTGATGAGAGTGTGGCTGAATCTCCAACTGAAAATTGCAAAAACAGACAAACCTTTTGTAAATTAAAAAAAGAAATGATGATGATGTGCTTAAAAAGAATGATGCAGCTATCCTGACAGAAATAGTAACAACACCAATGTTAAAGGCTGAGTAAGAAAAGGAGGGTGTCAAGAGGTCCGTTTTTATTTTTGGCACCTGTAACTACACAATTACTGATGCACTTCAGATAGACTGGATAGATGACATGCTATTATAACAGATGGACGTGAGGTCCCCAACCATCAGGCAAGCCAAGCGGTAATGAATACGAGCCTGTACACAGTCCCATGGCCTCTGACCTACAGATCCCTCCCTTCTCTTCCTTCACAGATGCTAAGGCCTTGCTCTGGCTTCCACAGCCTTGCCAGCAAAGCTCCAACTGCATTTTAACTACAAGTGTTCAGGGGGGAGGGAAAGAGAAACATAACACTCTGCTTCGATGACCTACAATCCATTTTTAAGAGCATGAGATTTGCTTTTTTTATTTGTGTTAATGTGCATGTGCAAAATCTGCTTTTGTCAATGTGAGGAACTGTGTGTAAAAAGAAATAATGGGCAAGATTATTAAAAAGTTAGGAATAAAAGACTTACTGCTTCCCAGTTTGTGGTATTTCCCTCTCTGTACTGCAACTCATACTCCAAACGCATCCATCCCAACCTAACATCAGCAGTAGGTGGGGACTCCCAGTTAACCATGACATCATAATTTAGCCTGGAAGGACTTATAGTCAGCAGGGTCCAGTTTAAAGACACTGGCGGGTCAGGACGTACTGTCAGAGAAAAGGCAAAAGTTCATATTCGAACAGAAGGAAAGGACACTTCTAGTTACTGATTTGGTATGCTAATTTAGGATCACATAAAAAAGGTTAACAGAATACTAAAAAAATACTGCTTATGTTCAAAAAGTCAATATCTGTTCAATCCAGACTGTGTCACTCCCTTTACAAAGATTAAACCATTTAATTCCATTTAACAGATTTAAAACTAAATGATCAACACGTTTTGTTTTTCTCTTTTTTCTTCATTAATTTAACATGATTGATGAGGACATAAGGACAAAGCAAAGAAGTGAAAACCTCCACGAAGTCATAATTATTAAAGAAGGAGTCCTCCCATCACATTACATTTGTGTAAAACATTGATATTTTGAACTGAGACTGGAGCAAATGCAAGCAATATTGATTGAAACTGCACAGGTCTGATTTGATATTATCATGAACACATCACAAATAGATATTTCTTTGGTATAACTGGAAACGTTGGCCATAAAGAAGAGGGGGAGACGGCATTTTAAACAATGTCAAGAATCATCTGGAGCTGATTCAACAAGTAGTTGCTACGCTCCTTCTATAAACAAAGAGGTTTGGAAGAATAAGCAGCAACTAAAAGCCTGACCCTACTACAGGTCAAGTGTCTAAGACAACATCCACAATTAATTTATACTCATAAAAAGAACAAACAAAGATCTTTCCATGAAGAAGATGTCAGGCAACATATGACGTTGCCATATGATAATATATTGCTTGTCAGCATCTTCTAGACTCAAAGTATTTACCACTTAAGCACTGTTTATCTGACATAAGTCCAAAAACAAGTAGAATTTCCAGGTATCCTTCTGCACGAGTAATTCATTGAACTAGAAATAACCATTTTGTGCTGTGAAATATGAATATATAATTACATATGAATACATTAAGTAACATCTGTAAAGATCTCCTAATGCTATAAAGGATTTTTACATACAACCTGAAAATGAGAAACAGTAGGATGTCAAATTTTCTGATAAATCAAAACTTTTAAAAAAATCTGTAAATATGCACAAATCTTGGCTACTAACCAATATTCTCCACCCTGAAACAGTCATCTTCATTGAAATAGGTGATGTTGTTTTGAGTGCGAAGCTGCATGCAGTAAGTGATCCATATGGATGTGTGATTTGCATCAAAGAAACATTCCCTATTTGAATGGATATACTTGGGACACTCCTTCCACTGGCTGGTAGGAGACCTGAATGAGTGAAACAATGGCAGAAGAAACATAAGAAGAAGTAAAAAACTAAATTCTTGTCAAGTAAAGGTTATGACATCATTAATGGAGCTCACTGATTCACACAAAACAATGTGCCTACGTGAAGTTTTCTACAAAACAAGCAATTATTAGGATTTCTGAGAGTAAAGCAAGCATTTTGGAGATTACACTTACTCTTTCTTAAGGTAGAAGACTCGGAGTGCTCCAGGGGAGGAGAGGTTGTGGAAGGTGCCAGGACTCCACCAGCAGCGGAACGTCTCCTGGTCCCTTGATATACACTCAGTAAAATGAGGCTCAATGAGAGCTGAAAGACAGAGTTAGAAGAGCAACGATTAGAAAGGAAGTGAGACTGCATTAGGCTAATGAATCACCTTTATTAACATCTATCAGCGTCTGCAGGGGCTTTGCTTTATTCGTCTAACAATACAGAGATACACGGTCTCCTAGGGGCCCACTATCAATTTGAAAATCATTGCTGTGTTTTCAAATCATCAAATGCGCAAGATTTTCAGAAAGCTTACTCTGAACTTGAGGTCAAGCATACTGAGATTCAAAATCATCTGAGATATTTAGTAGATGCACCTTTAGTATCAATTTCATATGGAGCCCTTCAAAGGACATTGGAGAAAAAAGTTTAAGATGTATTTTTGCGAGAGCCTGAGTTACTTGTGCGAGATCCCGCAAAAGTTTTTGATTGAACTCCAAACACTTCCAGGTCAGTAATGAGACCTTGGAAACCACAGTTATGGAGGACACACACCCGTGGGACAGATGAATAGATTTTTAGTTTGAGCTTGGCCTAAACTATGAAATTAGATCAGTGCTTGACAGTAGAGACCGTTTTTATAAGTGAGAGACATCTGAAGAGAGTTCTTAGTGCAAGAGGACACACTCATCCGAAGGAGTACTCTGACCTGGCAGTCTTGGCTGAATTCATTAACAGCCAGCTGCAGTACTCGGGTACTGATAGATGTATGCTAAATGCGCGGAAAAAGTCTTTCTCAGGATCTCGCAAAACTTTTTCAGGACTCTGCAAAAGTAACTTGAATTTTCGCAGAAGTACATCTTCTTTTTTCCCCCCCACCAATATTCCATTCCTTGAAAATCCTACTTCGCCTTGTTCTCTAGTTATAAACTTCACGAGATATTCAGAAACCTTGACCTTGAGGTCACTGAGGTTCTAACTCATCTGAGATTTTTAGTAGATGCACCTATAATATCATTTTGAAGCTCCTATGTCTCCTTGTTCTCGAGTTATAACATTCACAAACTTTGCACCACTTGCCCATCCGCCCTCTTGCCCGGTAGTGTGACACCAATACTGCGTGAGCCTTTTACAGCTCAGTCACCTTTAATTGCACTAATATCATGACTTCTGGTGGTGTCAGACATCACTTTTTCACGGAAAGGCTGAGTAAACTTGCTGAAATCTAATCTTAACCTCAGAATTGCAGAAACTTGCCACAGTTGAAAACAATAAAAACACAACAGATAATAGCACCTTAAGGTTACAATCCACATTTAAAGACTATCAGATGAGCTCTGGGTATTAAGTGTAATCCTGCATTATTTATACTCAAAGAGTTGCTAGACAAATGGAAAATGCTTCCATGGCATGCTTCCACATGATTTCTGAAACAATGCACAAATACAAACTTGCAAATGTGCCAGAAATATTTTATTCCTTTCTTTTAACAACCGCTGCTGCTACCCTGTGAATCCCATGAATATCATTGCGCGCACATACGAGTAGAAAAAAAAAAGAACTTGCTAAAAAAGTATTATGCTGCTAACGTTTCGATGTGTCCAAACATTTCGTAACAACCTAACCCCTCCTCCCTCCCAGCCCCCCCGCTCCTGTCGGAGATCAGTTTCTCGCCCAGCAGAATATAGAGTCCCAGAGTTTGGTGCAACCATAAATAAGCAGCTGAAAGTACCATTGATTTCTGCTCCACTGGCTCTCCGCCAGCTCTCTCTTCTCACTGCCTGCATTATAAATCACACACAGACCTAGAACATAAACATGCATCAAAACACAGGGGAAAGAAATTACAGACCAACTGGAGCTGATAGTTTCTAAACATAAAACCAAAACATATCTCCACACAGACTCGTTAAAGATTGTTCACTTGTAAAAAAAAAAAAAAGAAGAAGAAGAAGAAGAAGAAGAAGAAAGGCACGTTACTGGCATCTGCATACAGACATACACCTACCAAGCATGCATCCTGATTCAACTTACACACATCTAACTACAACAAGACAAGCTATCAACAAGACCAACTCAGGCAGGGCAGTCAACGCACACATCATTTATTCACGTGGAATATAAACCTACTTCGTTTCCATGCTATTTGGTGCCAGTATAACCTCATAATTCTCTGCATTCCTGTGCAGTTGTGCCTTTCCCACCTCCCTTCCCTTCACCTTTTGCACGCTGTTGTGCTTCCCCGAGGTTTGCTATTTCAGCTCGGCTTCCCTTCCCCATCCAACAAATTCCAGCTGCAACCATCAAAGAGCTTTCTGCAGACGCTGAATGCAAGAAGGCCTTAGAACTACAGAAGAATAGGATACTACAGAAGCAAAACTTCTAAGGTCCTAGGGTTTTTATATGGGCTGTAAATTTGGGGGGATAATAATTTGTATTGATTGGTACTTACACGTCTGAAAATGTTTGGGGTTACTCACAACTCACAAGACTTTTTATGATCATCAATAATTACGTAATAAGACGTGCTTTTTTTTTTACGCGTTTCATCTTCCAGTTGTTATTCTTGTCTGCGAGAGAAGAAGAATCTTGAGGTCAAAGAGCAATGCCGTATTTTTAAAAAGCTATTTGCATTTTTTGAACTTAAAACCATGTCAAAGGTGAAAGGTTGAGCCGCAACACCTGGAGGGTCACACTCTAATTTTGTCATTCTCTCTCATTTCAATGTTTTGACAGGAGGATGTTGATTACCTGACTACATAGGCTTGTAATATTTTTTTAAGGCTGTGCTCACATTATCAGCATGTAGTCATATATAACTACATATATAACTATACTTGAGTTTCAGTAATGGAAAGCTAAATCCTGCCTGTACCTGCCAGGTACTAAATGAGCTGAAAGCCTGTGGCTGGAAGAAGAAAACTAATTTGAACATGTGTGTGCGTATGTGTGTGTACATGTGTGTGTACATGTGTGTGTGTGGGTGTACTGCCTCATCCTGGCTGTCCATATGTATCTGTCTGTCCACGTGGATGTGCAGCTGAGACTGATAAACAGCTCTTAGCTTCACGTCCTCTCTTCATCAGTCTGTGTAGAGGAGCTAGGAAACCATTTATCTACCTCCATGTCAGCTTTAGCCATTAGGGTTTAAATCCACTAAGAAACCTAAATAAAGCACTCGGCCCTAGGCTCTCACATCGGCTGGCAAACAGAACTGAAAAAGGCGAGAGAAAAAGGTGCAACCAGCATTTACCAGTTACCGCACTGCGAAATGCTCGATTGTAATGAGGAGTGGAATGATCACCTTTTCCAGCTCATTTGCAGATTTAAGTTAATGTTGAGGTTAGTCATGCTCCAAAAGGCTGACTAAAGGAACAGCGAGATGTGATGGAAAACGAAGAAGGAAGAGTGACGCCACTAAAAAACAAACATTAGCCGGTACTACAAATGTCACTTGATGAAAAGAGATGTTTTGAAATTAAATCAGAGCAGCATTTTCTTTTAATCGATATTTCTATTAATAAAGGCAAACTAAGTCAGTGTAGGCGACTGTTTATACGCTGCAGATCATTTATAATCTGTCCCAACTGTCACCCCATGTGACGTTCCCCTGGGTTCAGTTTTGGGTCCATTACTCTTTGCACACTCTTCATGTGTGCAAATATTAGTAGTTACTGACTGATGCATAAGGAGCATGAAAATGAAATACATATGGTTAGCTACGATACTTTGATCATGTCATAATGACAGAAATGCCTTAGCATTTTTTTAAAAACTACTTTCTGTATCTTTGTGAAAACGTAAAAGTTTATGATTTTGTTTTATCATGAATTAGATTCGCACTAATAGATTTCCATGTAAATGTTCCATTACATTTGTCAACCGTAAAGCTCTTTAGCCCTGTTTACCCCATATTGTGGGCTACATCTATTACTTGGGACTTTTTGTTCGGGCACATGTTTAGGTATTTTTGTCCACTTCTTACTTATGATCACTATAAACAATGCCAAAAAGACATGTAAATGAGAACTTCTTGATGTCTCTTCATTGTGGTTTTAGTTTAAAAATGATTTGGTTGCCCTGTACTTTAAGAGAACACACAGACCTGCCAACTGAACCTGTTGTCCCCAGTCACATTGTTCACATAACTCAAGAGTCTGCTCTCAGTTGACCACAGAAAAACCCCATAAAATGACATGACACTAAAAGCAGCCTTGTTTCTGGAAGTATTCATTTAAACCATAAATATAAATGATAACATTTATAGGAGTAAAACTATAACTTAAACAGCACAATTGTAAAATAATTTAGCATAAACCCCCATGCTAAAAATGTTGTGACAATGTGAGATATGTAAGTAAAAACAGAATTTAATGATTTGCAAACTGCATAAACCAATATTTATTAACCAAAAAACGAAAAGATATTAAATATCTAAACTGAGAAAATTTGAAAAAAAAAAAAGGAGGGGGGGATTCTGGCAACAAGTTTCTAAAAAAGTTGGGACAGGAGCAAGTAGAGGCTGGAAAACTAAACGGTATTACAAAGAAACAGCTGGAATAGCATTTTGCAACTAATTAAGTTCACTGGCAACAGTTTATTAACACAACTGGATACAAAAAGAACATCTTAGAAAGACGGAGATTCTCTGGAGTAGAGAAAGCAAGAAATTCACCAGTCTGCAACAAACTGTGTCTACAATGTGAAACTATTTCAGAATAAGGTTTCTCAATGTAAAATTGCAAAGACAGTACATAATGTCATCAAAACAGACAGAGAATCTGGAGAAATCTCTGTGAGCAACAGACATGGATAAAAATCAATAAGGGATACCCGGGCTCTCAGGCAGCACTGCACTAAAAGCAGGAATGATCCTGTCATAGAAGTCACTGACTGAGCTCAGGAACACTTCCACAGAAGACCATCTTTGAACACAGTTCGCAGACAGTGATTTCTGTGTTCTATGTGAATAAAACATGTTTATGAGATTTGTAAATCATTTAATTCTTTTTTTATTTACATTTTGCACAGTGTTGCAACAGTTTTGGAATTGGGGTTGTGTTTTGAAGGTGCTAGTTTTCCAGTCATTTCACATATGC